GGTGAGTGCACGAGCAACGGTGCCACGCTTGCGGCCCACTGAGGCGATTGGAGGGCCGCGTGCGTGGCCCACCGACTCGTCCGCCGTTGCCCTTCGCCGATCGAGACGACGCTCGTGAGCAGCGCAGCACCAACGAGGCAGCGTGCTCCCTGCGCGCTCCCTCGCCGCTCCTCCATGCACCAATCCATATCCCGAGCTCTCGCTTTCGCTCTTGCGGTTTCCCCACCCCCCACCCGCAAAAAAAACCTCCCAGCCAAGACACTGACTTATTTGTGTGTCTTTGTTTTTTGTCTCAGCCTGTGTTTAATAAAAACGACTGTTTAATAACATCAAAATAAAATAAGGAATCAGGATATTTAAAAAAATATCTGGATTGTGTACGTAATCATACTCGGGTTTATTACAAGAGCCATCATTGCCAGACCACGTGCCCTGTTCTTCGTTCAAGATGTTTTTTTAGCCCGTCTCGAAGATCTTTGCAATAACTTCTCACCACCACAGACGTGCACAAATGTGAACACGTGTGAGCCGAACCAGGGGGCACTCGAATTTATATAATCCAACATGGAAATCATGACAAACTTCAGTTTATTACTGGGTACCATATTCGTTGAATACAAAGGTTTATGACTTTAATATGTGTCTTGGTCTAGCACAGTGAGATCACATTTTAAATGTTGTAAATGACAAGAATTGGCAAAGTGCTCGAGATATCAATCATTCACTGAGTAAAGTTTAATCATTACCGCCACGTTGGCGAGATGTTAACTACCTCGCCAGGTATACAGGAGGTCGTGAGATCGAACCCGACCCTTATGCCTGCATGTTTGGAGTTTGCATGTTCTCCCCGTGGTCGCGTGGATATTTTTCCCGGCCCTCTGATTTTCCCCTCTACATTTAGAATTTCCACGTGATAATCAGCCACTTCGTTGAGCTATCATTTGTGGCCAGGTCGCTTCTGACTACTGCAAAGGTACTCGAATGTATACGTGTAAATGTTTGTGTGTGGCGGGTTGGGAACGGAAGTGTAGCGGTTAGCATGCTGCTTCACGAACCCGGCGACGCAAGTTCAAATCCCGCCCGTGGCCAACATCGGTGATGATTATATGAACCGGTCCTGGGCCTGCCCTAGGTCGACTCAGCCTCAGATGAGTACCCGGTGCGGTGTGTAAACATCGCCACTGGGGAGACAAAGGTGGTCGGGCGTGGTGCTGGCCACCCACCCCCTCGTGTGCCTTGCTGGCCTTCATAGGTGCTACTCCCTAACAGAACTTGGCCCAAAAAGTCTGTTAAGGCTATACGGGGGATCTTTGTCTTGTGTTGGTTGGGGGCATGGTTGATTGGACATCTTTCGGTGGGCTTTTCATCCTGGTGTCAGAATGCTCCACATACCCCACGCCTACATCGTGATTTGTGGCCATTTATGGCGGGACCAAGGGTTCTGCCAATTCTGCCCTCCAGAACGGTGCATAACATCCGATCAATAATTCGAGCAGAACCACAACTCAACGTATGCAGTGGGTCCACGATCTGCTTCTGTTTTGCGTTGGTTTAAAAATTCTCACACTGGGTTCGGGAGAATGCTTACAAAACTCTGTGCATGCATCCAAAGGTATAACAAACGGTCTACGCCTCCAGCAACCCTGAGAAAGAGGAAACAGCGCACTTCAGGGATGCCTGCGGCATTTCTGTTCACAACTACGGACTTCATTAAAGTGGCATTTGTTGCATTATCATGAAACGTAATCAGGTATATTTCCGTTACCAGAATCAGTAGAGTTCATGATGCACCACAGCACCCGTTGATGTGAGCTGCCAAATCGACTGGAAATACGAAATGGCAGCTTCACGTCTTATTATCCTGCAGTGGGTTATCGTGGTATTTACATGCCACGCCAAGAGCCCTGCTGCCTCTGTAGAACAGCAGCATAGCGCAGCACACAGTGCCACGTCTGCTGTGCACATGTGGCTGCCTGCCTCTCCATAGGAGAGCAGATAAGAAATAATAAGTGAGACTTAAAACTTTCGTGACTGCAGAAATTCATATTCTTGGTTCTTTCGGTAAAAAAAACTGTTTTTCAAAATCTTCCATTACATCATTAGCCTCATTAAATGCAATGTGCTCGGTTATAATAAGTTATTCTTGTTATATTCTTGGTTCTTTCGGTAAAGTCACGTAGATAGAAAACATAAAAATAATACAATAAATAAAAAATAAAATTAAAATAAAAGAACATTTAATATAATAAATTGTTTTTATTATTTTACATTTATTAACTTTATTATAAATTTAAATTGTATTATTTTTATTGTTTTCTATCTACCTGACTTTACCGAAAGAACCAAGAATATAACAAGAATAACTCATTATAACCGAGCACATTGCATTTAATGAGGTTAATGATGTAATGGAAGATTTTGAAAAACAGTTTTTTACTGTAACTATTTGAAATGGATCTAAGGTAAATTATTTTTACAATAAACTTGCACGTGGATCAGCCCAATATGTTATGATGCGATGCCTTGCTTCGCCATTGCTCTTGATGCCCGTATAATGTTATTTTGCGTTAATCTGGTTTTGCGCAGCATTCGTTTTTACAGCAATTGATGATTGAATTTTACCTCGATGTCAAATTTGTTCTTATGAAGGTAATTGGGTCAGACAGACACCTTGACGAAAATAGCCAGACCTCATCACCAGATTATTGGTCGTGGAAAAATCCTGGGAATTTTGCCAACAATTGGATAAAAAGGGATACTGGACAATGTGTGTGTGTAAGCTCCGTAATATTGATTATTTTCTAACATCTCAAATTAATCCAGAAGTCTTGAACAATGAATCAATGCATCGACGGAGAGACATGCAAAGCGACATTGCGCTTAAGTTCATGAAACCAAACAGGCAAGATTCACAGCTTCACAAAACGGGCAAAACGGATCTTTGTATTGGTGGTTTGCTTCACGAACGGTAAACAATGCTCCCGTCGTTATTTCGTTAAATTTTTTGCCGGTGTAAACACGTATTTGGCGACCGCAGTCATACGGTCATTTGTACGGGGAATGACCAACGCGAGTCTGCAGCAAAGTGGACTTTAAAGACCTGTGTCGTTATCTGTCCGTGTGTGCGATCGTCTGCCCAATTCCAAATTAACAACTTACTTGCAAACACATTGACAAATGCGAGATAACAGAACCGTTTCAACAATAGTTATCATAATGTAATTATTATTATAACTGTTCTATTAATGTTTAATGTATCCAAATTTTCTTTACAAAAGTGATAATGAATCTCGACAGACTTCCCTCTGGGTTAAACAAATCAGACTGGATGTCACTGCGTATCCTCGCACTCTCCATAACAGACTGTTGGCCAAACATCCCAACAGAGTCTAGATTTGAAGTTTTCGTGACTGCAGGGATCCATACTCTTTGGTTCTTTCGGTAAAGTCACGTAGGTAGAAAATAAAATAAATTAAATCACGTGACGTTTCGGGTGCAACACAAGCGCCCGTCATCAGGTGGGACAACCACAGCAAGAAACAATTTCTGAAGTGGGCAAAAGGGCTGCTGTGACAAGAGGCTTTATAGGCAAGAGAGGGGGGAGGAGCCAGGAAGGAGAGACAGAGAGGGGGGAGGAGCCAGGAAGGAGAGACAGAGAGGGGGGTGTGGGGTAGGGGGAGTGGAGCGCTGCCGAATGAAGAGCAGCTAGAAGGGATTAAGCGCTCTACTCCCCCTACCCCACACCCCCCTCTCTATCTCTCCTCCCTGGCTCCTTCCCCCCCTCTCTTGCCTGTAAAGCCTCTTGTCACGGCAGCCCGTTTGCCCACGTCAGCAATTGTTTCTTGCTGTGGTTGTCCCACCTGATGGCGGACGCTTGTGTTGCGCCCGAAACGTCGTGATTTAATTTTATTTTCTACCTACGTGACTTTACCGAAAGAACCAAAGAGTATGGATCCCTGCAGAGGACCACAGAGCTGTGGCAATTGTTGTAGTTTCCTACGTCTCTGAATCATTCTCTCTCTCTTTTTTTTCTTTATTTTATTTTTTTTCTTCAAACGCTTCACGAATTTGCGTGTCATCCTTGCGCAGGGGCCATGCTAATCTTCTCTGTATCGTTCCAATTTTAGTATATGTACTGCCGGAGCACTGTTACCGACAGCCAACAAAACATTGTGGCCGTTACAAATCCCACATTTTCTTTGGGTCTTTCGCTAAAGTCACGTAGATAGTTTAACATGCAGGCTGTCGCGACCAATATTATTCATAATAAATTCGCAATTTGCCCGATGATGCTGGATGCAATTACCAGCGAAACGTCGTATTCATAAATTGTAAATGTTGTGGATCCACTCTTCAACACACCGGTGGGCTAAAGTAGTGAACTAATTGTCTTTTGTCAACGTGACAATTTTTTACTGATTGGCCGTGTCGGGTGGTGAAGGGTTGCGACACATTTATAAATAACGCGATCTACCCCAAAAACCTTCATTATGGATCATGTAGATAGGTTCAAATTAATTATTAATTTGAATTCCTGCAGTCACGAAAGTTTTAAGTCAAAATCCCACATTGTTGTCACCTGCTAGGAACAGCAGGAAAAGATGAACGTGAGACGCAGCGGTGGTTCCAAGTGAAGGGGTGGGGCCGGGGCAGGCGATGGAGATGATTACCACAAAAATTTGTTGACATTGCCAGAGAAAATACTTTTTTTTTTTATTAACGTAGAGGCCTGTTTAAAAAAAAGAAACATTCTTAATTTCAGGACCACCCAAACCCCCCCCCCCCCCCCCCCCCCCCCCCCCCCCATTGGGAAATTTTCAAATCTGCCTCTGGCGAGACATCGAGCAGCAAGGCCCTCCCGTGACAAGCCGTGGCCACGAGGAGGGCGCCACATGCACACGTTGGAGGGTGGACAAGGGGAGGGGGGCCGAAGGGGTGGGGGGCCGAGAGGTAGGGGGCAGTGCGGAGGAGAAGCGAGGGAAGGGAAGGGGGAGGCTCACCTCGTTTCGGACGATGCCCACGTAGTCGGCCTCAGGGGGCAGCACGAGGACGAGCTCCGCCTCGTAGGCGCCCTCGCCCGCGTTTCTTGCCACGAGCGCCAGCGTCACCAGGTTCTCCTCGCCCACCAGCAGCGCCTTGCGGTCCCTGGGGGGGTGGCCACGGAAACTCGCTCAGACACCATCGCAGACGGCCCAGGTTACCCCTTTTGATTTAGTTAGTTATTTATTTTATTCGACAAGAGCCCGGGGAAGGAGTGAGAGCAGCGGCAATGGAGGGGTGGGTGGAGGGGGGGGGGCACATAAATACTTAAATTCCGCGGGTGGAAGCCCCGACACACGGAGCTCACGGGCTGGGGGCGAGGGAGAGAAATGGGCTCGCTGCCCCACTTACGTAGGGGACTGTGAGCGCTCAGCCAGGTGCCCTTACACAGACGGGTGGGGCAAAGGCTCTTCATGGAGAATCTGATCATTGTTATTATTTTATTATTGATAATAAAGGGGTTTTTTTTTTGGGGGGGGGGGGGGGGGGCTAGATCGCGTATTTATAAATGTGTCGGTGAACCCGCCACCACCTGACACCGTCAATCACCAGCGGAACGTCGTACCCAAATTATAATTTTACTCTCCAACACACTGGTGTGCTGAAGTGGTAACTAATTGGCACGTTTTGTTTACGTGACAAATCTTACTAATTGGCTGTGTTGGATGTTGACGGGTTTAACGTCACATTTATATTTACGCGATATAACCCAATTTATTTTTTAATCATAGATAATATTGGTCACGAAAGCCTACGCGTTAAACCAATTGTATTATTATTGTTACACTTGTGTAACCAGGAAAGCCTCACTCAAGAGTCTCAACACTATTTTTCAAGAGGGTCCCGCAGCAGGGGGCAATGTTGTGGCTCTGCTTGTGTAATTTGCGGGTAATTTATCGGCATTGGGATGTTTGGCCAACCACCAGTCACACGCTGTGTGTTGTCTTTGCTATGCGAGGAAACCGGACAACCCAGAGGAAACCCGTGCAGTACCGGGGGAGAACGTACAGAGTCTACACGGAAGGGTGCCTGAGTCGGGAACCAAACGCAGGCCGTTCTTGTTGTCAGGCGCGAGTGTCAGCACGCTGCCGCCCTATAACAAATCTCCTGCCTCAGTCCTCCATAGCTACAGTGGGAAGAGCCTTAGATTCCGAGTGGACTGCATGGTAGCTGCAAGCTGGACTAGACTCTGAGGATGCATTCGTCTCTGACATCCATTGGGTCACACATGGCTTTTGGAATCTGCACTTTTTCAAGCTGAAATTTCTCTGCAGAACCTCTTGTCTCTGTAACCCGTGGTGATTTACTGATTTCATGTGTTGCTCCAACACATGCTGAGCATATTTTAGAAAGTGGATATAAAAATTGTGCTGACTTGCTCAACTTTATTTTTGAATCCCAACTTTTGTGGCATCGACTGAACACACAATCTCCTGCATGAGATCTCCTTTTTGTCTGTGAGTGTAGAGGAAGGGGAGGAATGGACGTGAAAAGAAAATTTCTCCCCTCGGAACATCGGGGATGATCCGTGGGCCACAATTGGTTTAAAATGTGTTGTCACTGTTTCGTAGGGCGACGTCCGTCTCACAACACGTGTCGGACATGTATGATGGTCGGAGCCTGATGGTAACGGCACAGCGCAGGGGTCGGCAAACCTGCGGCTCAGGAGCTGCACGCGGCTCTTTAAGGACTGCTTCGTGACACGTTACTTATTAAGGAGACCACTGTCTCGTATTCACGTGCATTGCGGCACTTTTAAATATTGGGTTGTTTTAACCAAATAAAAAAAAACGGCTCTTCTTGTTATTTTGATTGCCGACTCCTGGCATAGCAGATCTGTCAACCCTCGTGGACCATCCACTGTTGGGAGGAGTTTGACTGTCTGGTGTTGGCATCAGGCCTGGCTCCAGCTCCTCTTGGATGAGGGGGTCCTGTAGAGCTGGCATGTAGGGCGCCACCATATCAGTGATCGCCACTAAGGAAAGTTAACTTGGGTGGCCCGAAGGGGCATGTGCGTGTGGTTGTGCGTGCGTGTGGCTGAGAGCGTGTGTGGCTGTGAGTGTGGTTGTGCGTGCGTGTGGCTGTTAGTGCGTGAGCGCACCACGTGACCGAGAGCTTCAGCTTGGGGATACAGACATTGTCCTCACCACAGTCAAGCAAGATGTAGGCCTGAGGAGGAGACAGACATCATCACTGTCATCATCATCGTCGTTGTCACAAACCAGTCATCAGTTTTAAAGGCAACACGACGGAGGGAAATGTTGCGTGTGTGTTGATGGGGAGAGGAGGCAGGGATGTCAGACGTCATTATGGGCATCAGGTGCTCATCCACATTCTGTTTAATTGGGTCTTGGCGCGTGTCAGAGAACTCAACAAAACAACGATTACTTACAATGCCCCTTTGACGTTGTTAAAAAGTTGCGTCACTCGAAATTGAGTGAAGCCAGACAGGCAACGCCGAGCAGTCTAACAGCCGCTCCATGAAGTTTTCAAACTTAGTGTTAGAATGAGCATCAGAGTGGCGTTCATCTCCACCAGCAATTCCGAGCTCACGGTGTAAATTCCATATTCCCATGGTAACAATAATTTAATTGTAATATAGCATCGTTCATGCAAAACTGCATCTCACAACGCTGTACAAGACAACAGCTGAACAATTTTATATATATTTTCCACCTCGCAATAAAACACATCGGATGCCAAAACCAATGTCAACTGAATTAAAACTGTGGAGTGAAGCACTCCATAGGATGACCGCTATTGATGTCCCACAAAGTAGCAACAATTGTATTGACCCCAGAGGGATGACAATGGGCTGAGTTGACCCTCAATCCCCCCAAGCGGGATGTGAACTGGAAACCCATCAACAGCGTCGTCCAACTACTTAATGGCTGCTCACTTTGGAAAAATAGAACCGGAGGGCCCATTTCACAAGTTTAAATGTATGTATGTTGAACTTCTTTCGCACCGTACGTAGCCAATCATGCTGAATGAGAGTCTAGACTGCCATGTGTCTGCAACAGACGGGAAATGATGATGGTCGCGAAAAGTGGGGGATTGCTGCTGCTGGGAGTTTGTGGCCCACAGGCCCTCCATAAAGGGGCCTGGATGGGGAAGGAGAGAGTGGGCCCGAGCTCGTTGGGGTGCATACGTGAGCTGCACCTGCTTGCTGACGTGCTGCGGGCTGGAGGGGTGGAGGATGGGGTGGAGGCCGTGAGGGCCCTGCCTCGCCTGCTCATCCAGGCTGAGGTTGAGGCCCACGGAGATTGGCGTGAGCTTGTCACGAAACTCCGACTCGCCCTGGGGCACAGCCAGTGGCTCGCTCAGTGTCTCACTCACAGCCATTATGTTAAATACCTTTAATGACAACAGAGTAAGGTGACATTTCTTCATGAGTGCATCAATTAGTACGACTCTTAATTGCTAAAATATGTGGAGGGCCAATTATGTTTCTCATAAAAGCCTCACACTGAAGAAGCAGATATTACTCTGATATCAACACGCATTACCGCAGAGCAAATAATTTTTGGAAATTGACGTTTTCATGACAAAATCTGAATTTTTATTATCTAGGAGAAATCCGATGAGCGATAAAAAAATGTTTTACACAGATGCCCACGAGGGGTGGGTCATAAGCTTACCACAACAAACATTACAAAAACACGAGAGGAGTGCAAAGCCAACTGAGCTATTAGCTTCTTTATCAGAAGCGATCGGGCCACAAATTATAGCTCAACGAAGTGGCCTATCGTCACGTGGAAATGTTCCACGAGCGATCTACAAATTGCAAATGGTCTGATGGCTACTCGACCGGCTTCCGGTCCAGCCCGTCACAGATTTGGCGGCAGTCTGTGCAACGCACAGTGGGAGGACTTTAAGGAGGGTGATCCCGTCGCTGTACTATAATGGGCCATCTGCTGTTAATTAGACATCGCAAACCTAACGCCATTATTCATAGCAGTGCGCATTTGTCAGTGGCATGGCCTCAATGTGCCTCGTTTGGAAACGATGTGCAATTTGGACAGGTTATACATCTGCAGTATATACCGACTGTATTGATGCTCAGAGCGACTCTGCTCCTCGTTTTCATTGTTTTAAATATCAAACCTTCAACATAAATCAGGATCGTCGTATATATGTCCTTATTTACTTAGTGGCACCATGTATTTCCAGATTGTTGGTGCTGTGACTGAACACCCGACTCACATTTGTGAAACAAAATAAAATTAAATGTATTTTCTCAGGTATATATATCAATAAAATATACATTTTCACGCTTTGGAGGGTGGATGGGGGGGGGACTTCAACCCCACCCCCTTCCTTTGGCTTTGCCACTGCACCATAGTCGTCATTAATTATTTTTTATTTATCCCCCGAAGCAATGTATCTTAAGGCACCAGAAAGTGGAGGTACTGGAGACGATTACTCAGTGAGGAAGACTGAAAGCATTGTTCACAGACAACGCTTTATCGGCAGTACACGCAGCAAGTGGGAATACGCAAAAATTGAGACATCTGAACAGCGCTCGAGGCTACGTACTCTGTATTTTCAATCATAATTTAGTACACTCGGAAATTCGAGCCATTCCTATCGTGGGGGGGGGGGGGGGGGGCTTCAGCGAAGGCGCCGCCGAGCTTCAACCGACACAGTCCGCGGTAGTTTCGCAGTAGGGGGCGATGGTGCTCGCTACGTCATCCCAATTGAGCTACTGCCAGGCAATTGTTAGAATTAGACAAATGAACCTTATGGCGGGACCCCGGGGTCCCATAAGCCCCCGGCTCTCACATGAACTGCGTTGCGACGTCGTTTTATGTCCGTTGAAGGCGAACGACGCGGCGATCTGTCCCTCTCGACAAAGCTCTACACGATGCGCTGATCAAAGTTTAAAAGTTTTGTTTCTTCTGCGCATTCGTCCTCGCTGCTGTGCTTGGACGACACGGCAACAGAACGAGCCGCGCCAGGCGGGTCGCGGCGTTTATGTGCGCGGTGGGACGGAGTCGCCACAAATAAATAAATTACGATTTTGACTATTCGGGACCCCGGGATCCCGATATGAGGTTCAAATGTGGACGATGTCGGCACACAACGGCCCCCCTCGTTTTGGATGTATTTATGATGGAAAAAAATGCATTGCACTCATTTACCAATGAGTTTGTAACGTTGTAGACAGTGGATTTCACAGTTTAACACGTAGGCTTTCGCGATCAATATTATCCATAATAACGTTTTTTTGTGTGTTAGATCGCGTAAACATAAACGTGTCGTTAACCTGCCACCACCTGACACAGCCAATTAGTGAGGCTCGTCAAATAGACAAAATGTGCCAATTAGTTACTATATTCTTAGTTTTTTCGGTAAAGTCACGTTGAAGAGAAACAACAAAATAATAAAATATATATAAAACAATAAAAAATTCTCACGACGTTTCGACCATAACTCAAACGGTCGTCTTCAGGTGTGATGCGAACCAACACACCTGAAGACGACCGTTTGTGTTATGGTCGAAACGTCGTGAAAATTTTTTATTGTTTTATATATATTTTATTATTTTGTTGTTTCTCTTCAACGTGACTTTACCGAAAAAACTAAGAATATGAATTACTGCAGTCACAAAAGGTTGAAATCAAAATTTAATTAGTTACTAGTTCAGCACACCGGAGTGTCGGAGAGTAAACCCACAACTTTTACAGTTCGAGTACGACTTTTGCGCTGATGATTACAACCAGCTTCATCAGACGATTTGCCAGAATTGTGAAGAAGTCTTCCTGTTTTCGGGTGTTAAATATAGTAAAGATGAGCCTACATGGTGGGTTCACGACACTTTGAAATTTACGCGATATACCAAAACAAACCTCTTTATCACGAACACCCCAGTAGCAGAATGCTTACGGAGGCAAGTCTAAAGGGAAAACCCGCCCCATCCTGCCCTGCTACCATTCTACATGGGTGTAGCATTGAACACATCATCGTGAGCATATCCGTATTAACCAGGGTGGCCTGCTGCATTCGAACCGCGAACCTCTGCGAACGCGGCCACCGCCGGGCCACGGCGTCGCTATTGGCCAAGGGGCGGGTGGGGGGTGGGGGGTTTGGGGGGCACTTACCCTGAGAAAGGCGAGCAGGGCCACGCAGTGCGGCCGGGCCCGGTTGGCAAGGCTGAGCCGTTGCTCGTGAAGCGACGTCTGGGACAGCAGGAAGAGGGCCCGTCGCCCGGAGCCCTTGAGCTTCAGCCTGTCGAGCTGCACCTGGAGCTCTACCTCTGCCCAGGGCAGCGGAGGGACAAAAATAATTTGGCTTAGCCATCGCGCGCTTTCAGACGCGCTCCTGCGGCCGTCTGGAACGCTCTTGCTTCCGATATTAGGAAGCCACTGATGCTATGCACTTTTAAATCATCTACTTATTTCTTTAGAACTGCATTTTGTATTTAGTGCGTTGTCCTTCCCTCACACTGATTAGCACGGTTGGCTACGTACGGAGCGAAAGAATTTCAACATACGTACGTACAAATCTCACAAATCTTTTTCAGGAGGGTCCTGCCAAGTTTTTCGATGTTGTTGCTGTGTGTCGTCCCAATTGAGTCATATGAAGGTAATGTATTAACGTTGGGATGCTTTGACGGATGTCAGTTACAATGGTTTGATCTTGTTTGAGCTATGGCAGGAAAGTGGAGAACCCGTAGGAAACCATGCGTAACAGGGAGAGAGAACATACAAACTGCGGAGAGAAAAGGGCCTGAGTCGGGAATCGAACCGGGGTACATTTTAACGTAGGGCGCGAGTGTAACCACTCGGCGCCAGACTGCTGTCTCAATGACAACACAAAACCTGGAAATGTGAACGCAGCCAGAGGCCAGGGCTGTAGCTTTGAGCCAGAAAACTTCACCTGCAGCTGCCGTAAACCCTGCCATTGCTCTCATAATTAGCGAGTAAACAATTTACACGAGGCGGTGTTATGTTTTACGACAAGCAGATGTGGTATTGTGGGAAGAAGAAAAATATGATTAATCAATATTGAAGTTACGATGTTGCGGTAGGTGGCATTAATGCCCACGTCAATGTAATGAATGGCATTGGCCCAGTCTCAAACGGCTTGGCAGTCACAACAATTCACAAAAACGTGGTCTAATGTTAATTCAGCCCAGTCCCAGTCTGGAGGCAGTATATTCTACAGCATTACACGAGCAATCACCAACTTGCATAGCGGATGAAAACATTGCCTCTACATTTTTTTGTTAGGGTGAATTTAAAGGAAGCATTACTCTTGGAAAAAATTGTGTTTGTGTCCACGCATTGCCATTTAACATGGACTCCAACGTTGAGCCAACGTGCACGTGTGAGCGCAGTTTGCAACTTTCTTGAAGCCCCGTCTGAAACGTGTTGTGTTGCACGTGCAGCACACGCTCCGATTAACAGCGCTTGTGTGTACGGCAACGTTTGATTGGATGGGTGTGGTCGCAAGAACATTGCTGCAATGCTAACGCCAGCATGGCTGTGGTGTATAAGAAGAACCTGGACATGTTTCAAAGTAAAACTTGATTGACCTAAAAAAAAGGCAGGCAAAACACTCACCGCAGTTATTTCCGTGATTATTTTCTAACTTGCAGCCTTTTGATCGCGCGTGACGCATTCCAAACCGCGGTGACAATTTGCCAGTTAAAGTTTGCGAAATGGATATTAAGAAACCAGTGACAGTAAAAAAATAGTTCGAAAAAACACGCGCCTGTCTGAAAGTTCAAAGTAAAGTACACTACTTTAAACAAAATCGAAAAATAAACATCTACACGTACCCCACCTGAGAAGACGAATCCCGCAATAAGCAAGGCCTCTCCCGTTTGTTTTTACAACAAATTATATTTCTCACGGCCGCGTCACAGCGGGGCAACGGAGGGAGAAACGCCGTGGATTTGTTGGCAAACGCTGTGCGGTAATGTGCCTCTTGTCTTCCCAGCGGCTGGAGGACACACGTGGCTCGTCGGGAAATGTTGCGCTGCTACGGCGGTCGCAACTCTCAACTCACTTGACCTCGGGGTCACAGTCCACCTGCATCCTCACTTGGCATGACGCGGCACTGCGCCGGAATGATCGACATCGAGGCTGTTGTGGCACAAGAATATAACCTCACGAATGCATTTGAATCGATCTTCTTTCCTCCAACTCGAGATATATCTTTTTTTTTATCATCCATTCTTTATTTGCAACACTACCACTTAGCGCGATGCACACACTGTTACGATGCTGCTTTTGCTATTGCTCGTACCACCCGTGTTATTCTGTGCATTGCTGAGAAGGGAAGTGTGAGAAAGGTCGGGAACACTGCCTTCACTGTAGAAGGCTGGGCTCAACATCCTCCGGCGTCAGCTGTCGTTAAATTCAGGTCACAGCTGCCAATAGCTGGGTCACGCTCACGACGCTGTCCCCTCGGCCTGGCTCTATCAGCAGCAGGAAGAGGGCCCCACCGAAGGGGCCAGAGTTCGGAGAAGCACATTGCCTGCGATGCGTCTTGGCACCTTCTTTGGGCGCCGGAGGGACGGCATTCTGGGTCACGTGGGTGATCGGCTCCAACACAGCGTCGAGCCCTGGAGGCCGGAGCCTCTCGTTATGCTGATTCGATGTTGGCTGCGCCGTTTCACCGTCGCGAAGAACACAGAAGTTGCAAGCGAGTTGATGGAGGGGAGTTGACGGTGGGGGTTGACGGTTGGCATGGTAACACATGTGGAGCCCTCTTGCATGCCCTGTCGATGGCTGGCGGCATTATAACAAAAAAAACTACGCAATTGGTATTGACCAAAACATCCCAATGCTGACGAAATTACCTGCAAATTACTCAATTGGGATCACACACATAGCAACATCACCCCCTACTGCGAAAACTTGGTAGGGCGCTCCTGAAAAAAAGATACTTAGTGAGGCTTTACTGGGTAAACAAGCGTAGTGGTAATTATTATAATTTCCCAGGTCACTGAGAGGCAGTGGAGCCGCTGTCAATCTTCGCTTGGGTACTTGCGAGACGCAAACCATTCATTCTCTGAGCGTTGTGGAATTTCCGTGGTGGCCGCACGAGTGTCAGCGGCAGTGGAAACTGTGGGAATGGAATGGCCCTTCTCCGAGTGGGCTCGTTGGTTTGGATGTGCACAGCAGATTGCGGTGGATTCACGGTTGACAAATGTGGGCAGAATGTAACGCTGGGTTATGTTTGAAAATTAATTGCCCGGGGTCTACAGTACCGCTGAGCGAACGTTGTGAGCACGATGAAGCCATCGGGATCCTCTTTGGGGCAAGGTGTGTCACCCAAACAAACACCTTTGAATATTCCAAATAACTTAAGTATGGTATATTTGCATTTTTTAGGCTTTGGTGTTTAAGATTATCATTTGGATTTAATGTGGAAAGGCAACAGTGGCTGCTGTCCTGTGGATCGACCGACTGCTGTCGTGGGAATGTGGAATTTCTAGTAATGAGTGCTGCCCCGTGCTGATTTCAGCCAGAAACCAATTTAAAGCGTTTTTTATTTAAATCTCAGCGTCCGTGCATCGGAATGTCCAGCTGGCATTGCGACGCCGCGCTCTGCGAGGTAATGCTTTCGCACGCCCACCGCCTTCCTCACCCATTGTTGCAGGAACACTTTTTCCAACCGCTGAGAGACAGACCTTGACTGTGAAGCTGGAACAGAGTGAACACACCACACACACACACAGAGAGGCAATGAGAGGGAAACCAGACGAAGCAATTACGAACACCGGCGCACACCTGGCGTCCCGGCTTCCCACACCACTCGCGTTGATGAACGCGTCGCCACACGCAGGTCAGCCGTTGCTATTAGCGAGTTTGACGCGAAGGCTTTCGCGACCAATATTGTCCATGGCAGAGATTGGCGGCCGTCAATAAATGACGTCACGCGATTTTGGACGATTTTGACCCCCCCCCCCCCCTTCGTCACACGGCGTCACAAAACGTCAGACCCCCCTCAAATATGACGTCACAAAGCTATGCCCCCCCCCCCCCAAACACCATGCTTAAAATCGCTTTAAACTATTGTCATTGTAGTGCTTATTTAATGTGGCGCTGCACTTTGATGTTGTAGGAGAAAACATTTATTAAAAAGTATATTTAATTAAGTAGAACGTGTTGTCTATTTTGTATTTAAAGTTGCGCATTTTGATGTGACGTCACATTTCTCAAACCCCCCCCCCCCACTCGTCACACATCATCACAAATGTCTGACCCCGCCCCTTTTAGGTGCGTGACGTCATTTATGGGCGTCCCCTTAGGTCGCGTAAATATAAAGGTGTCGTGAAACCCGCCACCACTCGACACAGCCAGTGAGTGCGATTTGTCACGTGAGCAAGACGTGCCAGTTCGTTACTAGTTCAGCACACCCGTTGTGTGTTGGAGAGTAAAACCACAACATTCACAATGCGATTGCCGTGACGTTCCGCCCGTAATTACAACAACAACAACCAGCCTCATCAGGCAACGGCCTCGTGGAGAAATCCTCCTCCTCCTCCTGCTGCTTCGGGTCTTGGTTTATTTTTTGTTGGTTTTTTTTTTCTGCTTGCTGCAAACAACGGCGGTGCCCTTCTGCCAACAACAAAATCTGGCCGCGCTCAAAGCGCCATCGCAAAACGTGTTGCTGCCACGAGGAGGGGATGGAATCGCAGCTGCGTCTCACTGCAGCCGCTAGGGGCGTCCTTCACCCGAACCCCTCGTCCGCCACGTGGCGCGCTGTCACAGCAGGGGGGCCATCCTTTTAGTACGGACGCATGGAGACGGGAGTGGGTACGCTTGCGTATGGGGGGGAGGGGGGGTCTACTGACAATGTACGGATAAGAAACGGGCGGGGGGAGGGAGGGTGAAGCCTCGATAATAATTTGTCTGCATTGGCCTTCAAATGAGTTAGATAGTCCGGCGGTAGACTACCTGTGTGCTTAAACAAGTTAATATTGTTAATCCTTGATCGTTTCTGCGTGCATTAAATATCGGCCGTTCTATAGGATTCGGGGGGGGGGGGGGGGGGGGGGTGCGACAGGCGTACGTACGCAGGTGGAGGGGGGGGTAAAAAGTCCGCGTGCGTACAGGGAGGGAGGGGGGAGTCAAGTTTTGGCAGATTATTGCGTACCTACTCAATGGACGGCCCCCCAGTGAGGCGGAATTGTGAGGGGGGAGGGGGTCACCGCAACACAGACCCCCTCGGGGGGGGGGGGTCGCCCACACCCCCCAACACCCCCACGGGCTCACAGACGCAGTGGCCTCCCCGGAGGCCCCCACCTCGGCACGGCGGCCCCAACGCCACCGCCGCCAGCCAATGGCCAGAGCATAATCGTGATTCGCTTCGCGCAGTGCGAGTGGCAACTGCTGCCCCCTTGCAAACAACTCTTCAGTGAACCTGCTGTCGGGCCGTTACAGGCGCTGCTTTATTTATTATTACTGCTACGGATGCTGAGAACTTCTTTCGCGCCGTACGGAGCCAACCGTGCTCATCGGAGTTGCCGGGGAAGGACAACAACCAACCGTGCTCATCGGAGTTGCCGGGGAAGGACAACAACCTACACAAAGAAATTCGTTTTTTTTTCTCTCGATTTGAAAGTACATCGCTCCGGCGGCTTCCTAAGGAAGAACGTTCCAGACGGCCGCAGAAGCGCATCTGAAAGCGCGCGATGCGGTGACCGTCTTTGTTCGATGGATGGCCAAAAAAGTAGTACGTTTGTTAGTTACGCAATATTCCTTAAGGAACCCGCTGCACTATCGATGTTTTTTTGTCTGTGTTGTTGTTGCTGCTGCTGCTGCTGTGCTCACGCACAACCATGGATCTCCCGCGTAAAATAGCCGGGCAACTGGCTAAACGGGATCATCGTCAACATCATCATCTTCGTCTGCATAACGAATCAACATCACCGTCTGCATCTGTATAACGAATAGAAATGAACTGATCATCTCGATTACGCTCGTTCAACCCAAGAAAGCGTCACCGAGTCTCAAGCCTCTCTTGTCGTCGTCATGAAATCTGGTGCAGGCTCACCATGACACAGGTGCCCCCGAGCCGGGCATCATGCAGTCCTTGCTCTCGGTGTTGATCATCTGCGGCACCAGCTGCAGCTCCACGTCCAGGCTCACGACCGGCCGGGCCCTGCGGCGGAAACGGAGGCGACCGTCAGCCCCCAGCACGTCCGTGGAGGTCCCTGCTCACTCGCTCGCTCGCTCCCTCTCCGCTTCTCGCAGCCTCCACCAAGAGGGCGAGTAATCAGCTGGGAGGAGCACACAACTCCCACGGTTCTACCTCTCCAGCTGCATCGACAACTCCGCCGCAGGACCCAACCCTAACCTGCATTTGCTTTATCGTTGCAGTTGATTTCATGTTTTTTTTGTTACTTTCGTGGCCCAGATCACTCTGGCAAATGACACCCTGCTTGTTTCTTGAGTTCTGCTGAAACAAAAAAATAAACTCGCCCGATACGACACCAACTCATCCCTGAGTAACTAGTGAATCTTACGCTGGCATTACGCAACTCTACGCCGTCCACGAATGCCTCCTGATCCTTGTCTTTTTGGACTATGGAGAAATATTCACTCGACACGGGCTGCTATGCTCATGCTACGTAAGCTCTCTTCATGAGCATTACTATTCAGAACGTGAACATTGCACTACTCACCATGCACCCTCTATACCAGTGGTTACCAAGCTGTGGCCTGGGGCCACTCGCACTCCGCAGAGCCGTGAGCAGAGCCGTCCGTAGGGGTACAGCGAATTGGGGCGGCTGCCCCGGGCCCTTGGCTTTAGGGGGCCCTGCTCTTTGACATCACGCGGTTAGATGCAATGCTTCTGGTTTAGTTTGAAGGCGTCGGGAGGGGCCCACGCGGTGGGATTTGCCCCGGGCCCTTGCTCCCCCCTATGGACGGCCGTGGCCTTGGGAAGTGGTCCCCAGAACGGGTTGCCGATCCTACATCCACGGAGGGTGTTTGGGGGCACGAGGTGAACGAGCAAAGCGCTGCTTTACCTGTACAGCACGGCCTTGGACACTCCAAAAGCCCCCACCAACAAATCTGTGGAGACAAGAACAAGGGCCCTATTCTGAGTCACCTGGTCAGCTCTGGCTCGGTCTCCAATGCTCAGGCACAGCTCAGGCTTGTATGTTGAACTTCTTTCGCACCGCTCGGAGCCGGCTCAGATTATGGGGGGGGGGGGGTCAAAGCCGAGCCTGATTCGAGAGCGTGAAAGGACGGGACGTGCAATGTTGGTCTCCTCCATCAACGCAGCAAGTATCGTAGAGAGCATAATGCCTAGAAACAAACGGGTGTACGCCCCCTTTGTAATAAATCACCAGTGAGGCGCCGGCAGGATAAGATTACCACTGAAAGCCGTTTCAACACACATAGGACCTGCCCTACGACGCACATTTCTAGACTAAGCAAACAATTTAAGTTGCAAATTATTTTGTGATGAATCAATTGTCTTGAGCTGCATCAAAGTACTTGGGCATTTCATGATATTTAGTATTATGCAACGCTGTATATTTGCAGTGTATATATGTAAACTAAATATGGAACAAGTCGGTTAAAACCCAAAGGAATATGACTAATATTACAGTGGTGGTACGTAACAATATTGAGTTTACATTCAAGGGGCATGGCTATGTCTGTAGACAACGATAACTGGACCGGTCCTCCGACCCCACCGTTTGCCAATCGGCACTGATCAACGCGGTACAGAACGGTCAAGCAACTGTCAACAGTGACATGGTGCAGGGAGGCCCTCATCCAGCAGTGGATGCACAGATTTGGGTGTGGCGTTCAGGCGAGACGTGAGCACCCACGGGGCCTAGATGGCACAGCTGTCAACCCATAAGGTTTCACCCTGCATTCGTGTACAGGGAAATTGAGTTTGCAGGTCCATACAACGTACAGCCGTCTCAATACAGGCACATTTGTTTTGTCTATTTGTTTGTGTTTCTCCCTTGTGATGGAACTTTGTAGGATGAACGTTGAGATGTATAAGGGCACGGGGTGACCAATAAGGTCTGAATTGGTCTGTAATAAGGTAGGGCACTGATAAGGGGTTGACAGGTATGAGATGGCCGAGTGGAGGCCTGCCAGGAATCAACCTCAGGCCGCCGGGCTTAGTGCGCTAACCACTGCACCACCACTCCACCCCTCCACCCCTTCCTAGAACCGATTTTATTGCTTTAGAACAGTTTTTGTGTGTTAAATTTGTCGTCTTTCGCCCGCACCTCCAACTAGCACAGTTGCTACATACGGTGCAAAACAAGTTCAAAATACATACAAGAAAACTATGTAAATTATTCACAAACACTGTATTTTTTTAAAAAAATTGTAATAGAATGCATAGAACTTGAAGGAAATGCTCAGATAGTTTGGGTGCCTTGATGGCCAAAAACAGACAATGGCACCAGTCATTGCAGGAGGTTATGAATGCACGCCCGAGGGGTTTCTGCAGCTGTCAAAGCATTTACAGATGTAGAAAAAGGTGAATCCGTGAGGGTTTTCGGAGTTTAGAATTCTGATGATAAAAGGTTCGCTTCCTGGTCAGATTTCTGGCATTGCTCAACAGATTAACGCTCGAGTTCAAAGGGGGGCGAGGGAGGGGAACAAAGGGGGAAGCAGAAATATCCCGAATTGGATTATTTTTTTGGCCGAAAGGAAATTTGCTTCACCGACTCGTGAAGACAAACCGGGACACGAGGAGATAGGCTGGAGAAGCGAGGATTGCGAGAGAACGGCCGTTTGGACACGGAAGGTTGAGTGGCGGCCGAGGTTTAAGATGGTGAACAAACGTTTTAATATTGTGCCACGCCCGCACACAGGTGCATTCACACTCACGGCTGCATCTCTTGTTCATCAACGCAACGTAAATGTTTTACTTCCAAACGTGGTATCGGGACAGCACGTGTGCTCCCCCCCCCCCCCCCCCCCCCCCCCCCACCGGTTTATTCACAGCGGTGAACGGTGAGAAATGTTTGATTTTTGTGGAAATTTGAGCTGGGTTTCGGGGTTTGTGTGCGCCGGGGTCAACGGTGAGTGGTGGTCAGGATGGTTTGGGACCTGTCCATCCACTCATCATCATCATCATTCTGTCCACCAGTCAGTCATTCGCATCATCAGTCATTACTTCATCATCCGCTTTATCAACATGACCACCATCGCTGAAATGATCAGCACGACAAGTTTGATCATCATTGGAAACCTCATTTGCCAGTAACAAAATATGATAATTGTTTTTTTACCCTTTTATCTGGCAACAAAACTGACACCTTTTTTACAAGGAGTCATGTTTACATTGACCACAATACCTGCGGTCGGACCGCAAACAAAAAACAACAACTCTGATAATGTATGTGGCACTGTCCTTGAAATTGATTGGTCCACACCCAAGACAGCTTTCTTTAGAGCCTCGTCTCACATGGTGTTGGACCAGAAGACGCCAAAAGGCGCACAACTCAAAGACAATGCACCATCAGAGTATGAGAGCTCGGGGTAAGCATTTACACCATTGGAAACGTCATTTGCCAGTAACAAAATGACTCCTTGTAAAAAAAGGTGTCAGTTTTGTTTCCAGATAAAAGGGTAAAAAAACAATTATCATATTTTGTTACTGGCAAATGAGGTTTCCAATGGTGTAAATGCTTAACCCGAGCTCTCATACTCTGATGGTGCATTGTCTTTGAGTTGTGCGTCTTTTGGCGTCTTCTGGTCCAACACCATGTGAGACGAGGCTCTAAAGAAAGCTGTCTCGGGTGTGGACTAATCAATTTAAAGGACAGTGCCACATACATTATCAGAGTTGTTGTTTTTTGTGTGCGTTCCGACCGCAGGTATTGTGGTCAATGTAAACATGACTCCTTGTAAAAAGGTGTCAGTTTTGTTTCCAGATGAAAGGGTAAAAAGCCAATTATCAAGTTTGATCATCAGCCATCATAAAAAAAATACCCAAGTTGACAGCATCATCAGTTACTATCCACTTGTCGTTGATCATGGCCTTCAGGGAGGGGTAAAACATACGAATCATAAATGTGTTCTGCTCCACTAAGAACTGGATTATTATTATTGTGGCCATTCCGCTTGTTTACCCAGGAAAGCATCACAGAATCTCGCAACACGATTTCAGAGGATCATGCCAGGTTGTCGATGTTTGCTGGTGTGTGTAATCCCAATTGCAATCCCAATTTAGTAATTTAAAGGACATCTTTCAAGATTGGAATGTTGGCCCAATACATTGTATGGTCTGTTTTAGTCATGGGAAGAAACGGGAGAACCCGGAGAAATCCCATGCAGAACAGGGGAAGAACACACAAACTCCACGCAGGAAGGCGCCCGAGTCAGGAATCGAACCCAGGCCCTGCATGCTGTGAGGCACGGGCCTGGGTTCCAAAGCGCCAACCACCCTGGCTCCTGGCACAGTGGTCTCACAAGAGTCGAGGAGGAAAACGACATTTCACTTCCCCGGCAAAGTCCCTGCCCCAGATTGCTGGGTCTACGCGCATGTGCCAAGTCACAGTGACAATGGGATTTGCCGTGTACATATAGGAGCGACCAAAGCCGTCGAAGGGGAGGAAACAACAAAATAACAAAAACTTCCATAGCTTTCATCGCATTGACGCACAGCCCAAGACCTCATTTCCCACCAACCTACAAGGACGTGCAACGCAAAGGGGCTTTTGTTTAAATAGCAGCACGGCTGGTGCACAAAAAACCGCGTGACGGGTTCGGCACAAGTGTAGTGGGGGGGAGCGAGAGAGTGCTCATGGCCGCAAAATAGAGTTGTCACGTTGCCACACCAATAAGAAATATTTTAACGGGCAGTAAGTTCATTCCATGTCCAGAACGGACGTCGCGTGCGTGAGTGCGCGCGTGTGGTGCTGTATGTGTGCACTGGCAGGGCCGTGGACATTGTCAATAACTTTCTTCGTGTCATGCACTGTGGACGGAGTGTATTTTATCCCTTGTGTGTATATTAGATTAGAGTTTTTCTGGACATTATTCTTCCAAGTATGTGGTGTTTATCATCAGCCAGAAACCATGTTGGCAATGTTTAACAACACTTAACGTTGGCCAGACCTCTTTATTTTTCTGTTGTGTTTAGCTCTTCATTGTGCATGCAGTGCAGCTGAGATTGTTTTGTTTTTCTTAGGATGTCACCCAGCAACTAGAGTTATGTGCAGAGTAGATGTTAAATTCCTGGTCGTATGAGTTCATTAGTACCCGTGAGTTTTGAGTCCAATTTATTCACAATTTGGTTTCACGCTTTCGTGGAATTTCGATGATAGGTGGAAATTCCACAAAAGTGATCCCATCAAATAAAATCAAAGGAATTATTTTTGCCCACAATTTGCTGCTACAGTAAACTCTCCATTATCCGCACCTGAGATTTTGACATAAATTAGCAACTCATGGATTTTCCCTTAAGCCCAAATGAATACACTAAAATCAGTTATACATTGTTATTCTTGGAAATGTTTTATTCCAAGTCACGTGCTTAAACCAAACAAATATGTTCTCCAGATAATTCAAAATCCACGTTGTCGCCTCTACAGTACAGAAGTTGCATATCTTTACAACAGTGGGTGGAGTTTGCTTGATGTTGATTGTAATCAGGAAAGTGTTATCACTCAGCACGTGCATCGATCGGTCGATCGTTCATGAGAATTCATTCTAAATCGCAAGAGTAACAATCGAGATCGTCAGTTGTGCTTCATTTTTAGCGATTCATCCGATCATTTATTTTGTGAGTTTTAATTTACGAAACTGTGTGGTGGCAGAGAAACGGAAGGGTGTTGTTTTAACTTTAACAAACTAAATTTTCTTAACTTAAACATAATCTTGACTTAAAGCTTTCGTGAATGCAAGAATTCATACTCTTTGGGTCTTTCGGTAAAGTCACGTAGATAAGAAAAAAAATCACGCCGTTTCGATCGCAACACAAGCAATCGTCCTCAGGTGAAAAAACATAATATATTAGTGTTTTTTTGGCATTGAGATCCGCGGAAAATTTGATATTTTTGGATCATCCACGAATTTGAATTATCCTC